TCCAAAACACCAAGATACAGATTGTATTTCATTATCAGGTGGAAATAAGGTCGTAGTTTCTCCTGGTAAAAAAGCAGTCCAGAGCCAGAGATGGAGTGAGACCATATGTCTTTGTGTCAGCTGGGCAGGGTAGGGACGTTGCTACCTGCTGTCAGTGTCACCTCTTTGACCACTGACTGACCGGCTGACTGGGATGACTGGGAGGAAGCTGTCTGGCTCACACTGGCTGCCCTTACACTGTCTGGGCAGCAACAGTGGGCAGCTGGCTCAGTCTTCATGGGGGCGGTATGTGTGTTAAGCATGTGTGCATGGTAGGCATTTTCACAAGAGAGCAAATATACACAGAAATGTGCATACAAAAACAAATGTAATTGCAATTCAGAAATATTTATAGACCAGGTCAACTCAATACTATCAGTGTTGCACTTGTTCTTTTTTATTCTTGTTCTCCTATGGAAGTAAGCTTGTTTCCACAGAAGGATATAAAAAAAACCCACCAGACCACATTTATTAAACGAATAATAACAATAATGCACAATAAAAGTGTGTGCGCCATTCTTCCAATGTATTGCGTAAGGCCTATCAGTGACAGTAAGGGCATTAGTTTGTGTACAGCTTCTTTGTTTTTGTCTTCAGACACCAGTCAACATTAGCCAGCACAAAAGAACAGTAACAACATGCTCAAAGCTAATCAGTTATTGACTGTGTCTTTTTGCCAGAGAACTAGGGAATGTGGGCCTGTGGCCAAACAGTGACCATGTGGGGTCAGTCACTCCCTGGTGCTGGAGAAAGCTGCATCGGAACTGTTCTCAGCACCGAGTACCGCTATGGCTGTTTCACAACACACACACAGACTGAACTACTAGAAAATACAGAGAATATTTATAGTATGTTCTTTGTGGGAAATACTACAAAAAGCAGACGGATTAGATTGTTGTTCTTATTTATTTGGTGTTTCTATGTTCAGCAAGAAGAAGAATGAGGAGTGCTGCAACAGATGGTCTGGCCCCCACAGAGCCTGATCTCAACATCATGGAGTCAGACTGGGATTATACAAGAAGACACTGAGACAGCCTGAACCCTCAGAGGATCTGTGGCAAGTTCTCCAAGTCGCTTGAACAACGTACCTGCCAAGTACCTTGAAAAACTGTAAGAGTACCTCGGGGTACACTTACAGGGTGGTTACGCTAAATATTGATATCACTGAGGTTTTCTTCTGTTTACTGCTCTTTTCTATGATAAATAAATACTATTCATGGCATTATTTTTGAAAGCCTCCTCACTTTACTTTTTCATGTCCAATCCTTTTGAGCAGTTCTGCATAATCTACGGTAAAATTATGACGTATAAATCTTCAACTCTTCACTTTCCCAACAAAACAAAATATTCCATGTCGTTGCTGTGATGTTGCTGGTCGTATGTGCAAGTTAGAAAGAGAGCGGATAAGGTTCACTTTATTGATTGTTCATCCCTTGCCAAATCCTCTCAATTTGACTATGCACCAAACTGTTGACTTAAGAAATTAACTACGGCAGCAGTAGTAGGTGTACTGAGGGAATGAGGGAAACAACTCCAACTGCGTAGATGGGCTCCCTGTACTAATTAGTGTTGTTCATAACAGTATGTTGCAGTATTCTGCTGTGTAAAGCAACTACTTAGCTTTATTTGGACCCACAGGTTATATTTCAGCTCTATTTTGTGTAGAAAATAATTTGAAGTCTAAAAAACTGTTCAGTAATAGGAAGTTCATAATGGTCTGTGTAAATCTAAAGGCATTTAATAGAGGGTGGTTGGTCTAAATTATTGTTTTGATTAAAAAAATCCATTTGTAAAGCCATTTCATCAAGGCTTAAAATACCGAGATGTTATTTAGCAATATTGCTCAGCTCCACCACATAAACATTCCTGTACTGGAAATGAGCCGTGGCCTTAAATATACACTCACTTGCAAAGTGCCTGGACGAATTCCAAGCCTTTTCTTGTGAAAGTGCTCTCTGATGTTCAGAGGGTCTTTCTGCTAATATTTTGTTTGTTTTCTTTGCTGCAATTTGCTTGACAGATGTAGCACCCACAGCCACATAATCACACTTTTGTCTGCAGTAATATCCAACTGTGTTACAGAATGTAAGAGCAGAGAAAAAGGGCGGTCCAGAGTGCAATAAATGTGAACAGTGTGTGTCTGTAAGAACGGGGAATGAAGCCGAGAGGTGTTGGGAGCCACCTGCGGTTTCCTCCAATATGGTGAACTAAAGGCCCCGGAGCTGCTGCAGAGGCAGAGGCAGAGCTGTGGCTGAGACTGCGGGAAGGACGGAATGAATTGCTGTTTGGAGATGAGCTACAGACACACACTAGTTTCTGCTCAGCGGGACTTCCATGCACACCCAAAGGCATCTCACCATGTCGTTGCCTGTATACATATCACTAGCCCTATTCACTCTCCACTCCTCTTTTCTGCTTCTCCGCCCTCATTCCGTCTGATGGGATGTTCCTCTCAAAGTGGAAATGAAGGGACAACAGAAAGATTTTTCTTTTTGCCCTCTCTTCCTTCCTTCCTCTAATCTTCCCTTCCCTTCCCTCCACCTCCTCTTCCTCCCTCCCTCACAATATTTCTTTCTTCTTCTTTCTGACATCAAGCTCTCTTTTCTTTCCATTTCTCTCCCTTCTCCCCCCTTCTATTTTCTCTATCTGTTACACTTCCCTCCTCCACCCCACCCTCGATTTTCTCCATCAGTGTCAGTGGGCAGATATCTCTAGGGGAGACATCTGCTGACTAGGGACTGGGGTTAACATGGCTGCGGAGCCGATGCAATGGAGCCACACACCCACACACACACACCAACACGCATGTGACGTAAGATCATAATTACAGCTAAGAAAGTGTTTGCACCACAAATAATGATGAACTGATGGGATCAATACTGTGATGTATGGTGTGTTGGCTTCTGCAGACGGAGGTTATCATTATGATTGTATATTGTTACCGCCGTTCCATGAAAGCGCAGAAGCTTAGAAAGACTGTTTCCTCCTCTCTCTCCGCCCACCCTTCCCTCCCGTCTCTGTCTTTGACAGTGATGACTGTCTCTCAAACACAGAGCGACACAGAAGACAACATGTGTTCACTTTATCCGTCAGTGCCTATAAGTCTTCCTCTCTCTGCCTCCCCTCCCCGTCCCTTCTACATTCTTCCTTTCACTTCTTCCTTCAATCACCTTTTTTTTTTTATTTTTGGTTTCTGACAGGCAAACAAAAGAAGGCATGTCCATGGGGAGCGTGCGTCTGTGCGTCTCAGTGTGCGTGTCTTTTTGTGTGTACATGTGTATGTGGGGGCGGACATGCAGATAAGCCTGTAATATTTCTATTTTGGATTGAAAGAAAGTGGAAGCTAGTTCTCTGGTGGCAGGAAGGAAGAAAAAGGAGTGGGGTCTCCTGCCAACTGGTAGGATGCAACTGAAAAGAATTACACAAGATGGTACGTAGGTGGTGGGGGTGGAGAGTGTGTGTGTGTGTGTGTGTGTGTGTGTGTGTGTGTGTGTGTGTTCATGTAAGAGCAACTGAGAGTGAACATGTCCACACACATATATTCATTTCTCAGTATACATTAATTGGATGGGACTGCATGCGTGTGCGTGTATCTGTTGGTTCTATCTCGCATGGCTCTGCAAACAAAATGACATCCACTGGATCAGCGCCGATATCTTTCTAAGCAAGAGCCCCCCGCAGTGAGCCGCGTGTTTAATGCCTTCCTGAAATAGACAGCCACTGTGCACAGAAACAGTAGCTGTGGTATTGCAATGGAAACTCTGGTGCGGTGGTCTTTCATAAGTCTTAAAGAACATAAAGGAAAATGGAGTGGAGGCAAGAAAAGAAGGCATTAGTTGTTTCAACAAACCCTTAAAACAACAAGACCTCTTTCAGTCATGAGAGCAGTTACCATCCTCTCAAAGTAGCAACGGCAGAGGTAACGTCAGACTGTAGTTCACGCAGCTTCTCCCGCTACCACTGAACTTTTCTTTTTAGCGATGACGGCGGTGACTTTTAACCTCAACCTTAACCATGACTCTGTGCTAATCTTATTCGTAATACTTAAAACTTAACCAGCCAGTAAACACAGAGGCAGAAGATCAGTGAGTCGTTCTTTAAACGGTTATACAGTGTATGAGTTGTGAGAGTCACTGAAGAGCAACCTGTTTGTTGCATGGGTATGAGGATTTGTTGACTAGATTTGAATTGAGTCCAACAATTTTTTCATGTTGTTCACTTCAGTATAGAGGTGGACCGTACAGTAACAATTATTCACATGATCAAATTAGAGATCATTTTCTTCATCAATTAATTAAATGTTGGTGTATATGACAAAAAAAAAGTTCAAATGACCATTACATTTCCCTAGAGCTCAAGGTGATGTCATCAAATGCCTTATTTTGTCCAACCAAAAGACATTCAGTTTACTTTATTGTTAAGAAAAGAAAAACCAGCAAACCGTCAGTTGTTGGTTTAATTTTGACAAAACATTTTTTTGACATTTTGTATTGATACGACAACTATTTTTATTTTGCACACTTTGTTCTCTGCAATGATCCCCCCCCCAGCTCTGTGCTGTTGTTTTTTTCCGGTGTAAAATAATTTTCAAAGAATAAACATGCTCCCAATAGTACCTGTATATTGTACTATTGTATATTTTTGAGACTTGCTGCTCTGTACTAATAAAATCCCGATTTTATAACCATGACGTCGTCTGACAAAATCACCACACATAAATTAATGACAAAGACTGCTGTGATTTCGGCTATATTTACTTGTTAAATGATCAGTCTGAGAGAAAGTTAAAAGCGACAGAATGTCTTTCTTATTTAGTTTCTCACACAGCGCACACCTACCGTCTGGCCCCCGCTGTTGTGGTCCAGCCAAAAAAATAAAGTGGTGTAACTGAATAGGAAAGGCTAATTCATCAGAAAGACTTGTATCACATCTGTCAGTGTGGTCGTGTGTGTATTATGTACCTCTTTTGAGCCAGACTTGGCCAAGTAGATGGCACTGCGATGACACTTGTCATCCAGACACACGGGGAGGAGGTGGTCCTGGTAGCCGTCACCATCTGCCAGAATCAGAGAGAGAATTAGTTCGCAAAGCAACATTGCTGGATTGAAACAGTGGAAAGCGTGATCCTTTGTTTTCTAAAACTGTGCTATTTTAATATTTTCACTTCATCACAATACTTCAGATTTGTTCTAGAGTCGACTTTGAGCACAGCTCAGTTTCTGGCACAAAGACAATCGTTCCTGTTTTTTCCATGTGTGAGTTGGATCACAGGAACACCTGCTTGTTTCCTATGAGCAAACACACATCCACCAGCACTTGTCTCTTTGATGCCTTTTAATAATGTCAGTTGACTTGAAGTATCATTTTCTCCACTGATTTTCATCGCTCTTAATTATTATTATCATAATACATGCAGGCTGCATCTAATGTACAAACAGGGACAGAGCCTCCCAAATCAAAACAACAGCTCTTCAAAGCACAAACACTTCAGATCACCAGGTTCAGCTTCGCTTGCTTGCTCGCACGCTTGCACGCACGCACGCACGCACGCACGCACGCACGCACGCACGCACGCACGCACGCACGCACTTCAAATGACAAAACAATACCTCATTATGTGATGTTGACTGAATCATAAATTCCTTTTCACATTTACATCCACGAGAATGTGATCTACTTGTTGTTTTCCTATGTCTTCAGGCCTTCAACTGTGTGAAGCCAGAAAACATGGCTGAGAGAAAACATAGTGCTTCAAAAATGCTTTACTTGATTTGAGCTGCACATATCCACTACAGTATAATGAAAAAAAGTAAGTGACAATCCATCTTGACAGGCTCCAAGCTATTGGCTTGCGGCTGAACCAGAGTGGATTGAACTAATCAGCGTGGTATGAGGGAGGAACTACTTGCAGCTCCGGGCGTGTCTTAGGTGTGACAACAGCGAAAAGCGACTGTTGACAACAATTGTGGCCCCCTGAAGAGGTTGGTGCAGATGATGCTGTACCATCAGAACTGGACAGTATTTCTTCATTGAAAGAAGAGCAGAGTACATATGGCACTGAAGGCTTTTCTCGATGGATTTTTTTTCGCTCTTCTACAAACTAGTTTTGGCAAGAGTTTGATTTACTGGCTCATGAGAAAAATGTGAAGAATTTGCAGAATCTGATTGGTTGATTGAACCAGTGAGAGACAGTGACAGACAGATGGTTTGCCCAATCACCTGCCAAGAATTTTTTTGAAAGTGCCTTTTTCCAAACAATTTCCATCTAAGCTTTTCCGTATGGTTCTGAGTAATAAACCATCGGGTGCGTCAGGTCAATGAAAGCACATATATAAACATGAATAAAATCCTTCTTCCTGTGTTAGTAAAGTCGGAGGGTGTGGTGAGTGCAATTGCTCAAATTGCGTCGGAAACAATCAGAGATTTTGTCAAAATTCAGAAGGACCTATCGATGGTTACATTTACTTTGATAACCATGATTATTACTAGACCTGAAATGATTAGTTGATCAATCAGCTGCCAGATAATTATTCGGCAACTATTTTGATAATCAATTAATCATTTTAATCATGTCTTAAGCAAAATAAAATAAAATTTGCTGGTCTCGTTCCTCAGAAGTGAATATTTTTTGTTTTTTTAAACCTCTGTGATAGTAAATTGAATGTTTTGGGGTTTTTGACTGTTAAAGGATTGTGAGCAGCATGTTTTGCAATTAACTAATATTTTTTTGGACCAAACCATCCTCAATTTATTGAGAAAATAATCTGTAAATCGATCAATAATGAAGATCATAATCAGTTGTAGTGCTGATTTTTACACAAAATATACATTTCCTCATTTTCTTTCTCGTGTTGGTTCATGTCAGACCTGTTCGATTTTTTTTACTTAAATTTCGACTTTGTTTAACATCCAGCTCGATGACACTTGTTTTATTCTCAGTTTGAAGGAATAGGACAGAGACATTTTATTTACTGAAAATTGTGTTACAACTAAATATGAGTAAATTCAGGTTTATAACAGATAATATCAATTACATAAACTCATTTATAATGTTGGATGTTATTGGTTACTAAGACGATGGTATGTTCCTTTAATCTGCAGCTTTTCTTGTGAGTTACAGACGTTTTTCCACTGCAGACACTTTGACCTGTCAAAGCAGGAAGATCACAGGTGTATTTAATTACACTCACAAGCTCTGTATTGCAATTAAGAGTTTAACCCTTGTCCATCTTTAGGGCCATTTACCATTATTGTCCTTTTCATTATGTTTTTTTAGGGGGGGAATTTTATTTAAAATTTTTACCTCACCCCTTATTAATATGTCTGTAACACACTGTGTATACAAATTACAGTCACACCCACTGCCATTACAGCATAAACTAATAATAAAAATCACACATAGGCTTTTATCCAGAAGTCTTGGCTCCAACATTGTAGTTTTTACTATTTTCCGCCAGATGAAGTCATATTTGGCTGATGGCGCAAATACATTTTCCTGGTGCCCACTAGGGACATTGCTTCTGTATTATGGAGCACTGTAGGCCACTGGAATAAATGTACACAACTAAAATGTGGGAGTGTTGGTGTGTGTGTGTGTGTGTGTGTGTGTGTGTGTGTCTGCATCTTTGTAGGGTGTACCTGTGTCCATACATTGTGTATGTGATTGCAAATCCATGAGGTGAGAGCAAGTGGTTCTCATGATAATCCAAACAAAAAACTTACCCTTAGCATTAAGTGTATGGAAAATGATTCATAAAAAACAGTGGCATTTTAAACAAAGTGGCATTTAAAGGGTGAAATGAATGAATATTTGGTTGTTATGATCAGGACTGATGACATTTTTGTCTTCTAAAGGACTTTAGTTTCTGTGTTTATAAAAGGATGCAGCACCCTCGTATGCAGCACGCATGCTCATTGTCGTGGCTTACTGGGACACCTAAACTGAGTGATGTCATCGTTAACCTCACTCAGTGGCTAGTTCACTGCACACGCATGTGGCATACATACCTGGCCTGGCATCAGTCACAAGCCATTAAGGAAGTTCATTGTAAGGACATGCAGAGTTACGGACCCACAATTGACATTTTGCGACTCTTCCCACCATCAAACTATCAAATTGATAGAAAACAGAGACAAAGGACCCCTCTTCCACAAACAGACCATGCTTTTAGCATGCCAGAGAGACACAGAACCAGACCAAAGGTCAAAGGGTCAGCTCCAGAGGATCAACCAATGGACACCAGGCAACTGGAGAATATAGGCAAAATCTCCAGTTTGTAACATTAAGACTTTGTCTAATGATATTTGATTGTTTCTTATATAGCACAAGTAACACCAAAAGGACTGATTAACACTAAGGTGTGAATCCTGGCCTCTCTGTGCCATGCATGAACACACACACCAACCTCTCTTCCTCTCTCCCTCTCTAGATAAGAGTCATAAACTACAACCCACATCCCAGTCCTGGGTAGTGACCAGCAGAACTCTCTTCACAGACACAGATCTAAGGAAGAATGTATAATTAAATATCTAGCTGTTCTGTAACTCATGAGATGTTCCTATGCAATAGTTTAATCCCAAACTTCTATCCCATAGAATGTTTGAAATGTAACATGTAGATTTGAAGACAATGTCCTTCATGTGACCGTACTGTCAGCATCCTTCACACGAGGTAACACACACTACATGACATCCAGAATGTCCATATTATTATTACTATTACAGTCAAAGAACTGCTGTGTAATCCACATGTATAGACTATTAGCTTTAGGAAATGTTTATATTGTTGTTTAATCAATTAACCACTTGTATCATGATTAATTCCAGGTTTAAAGGATTTAATATGAAATCAACACTCCTATTACTCCTCTCTGCCATTATTAGTGCTAGTTTTATATGTTATTTCACTTAATGTTTTGTGGTCATGGTGGAAGACGGATGTGCGAGTTTATAAGTAAACTCTAGAATTAAATTATTCCAAAATTCAGTGGAAAATTACTCTCTTCTCCAAGTGGAAACACAGGAGATGACGGGTGATGCCCCTGAAACATGCGCCAGCCCCCAGGGGATAAAACAGTTGTGATCAATTCACAGAGTGCAGAAGCCAGAAGTCAGAAAGGTTAGAAGCGCGAAAAAATTATAAACTCGGCGAGATGCTAAGAAGGAAGAAGATGCGAGAAACGAAGCTAAAAGCTAGAGGCTGAGAAGCTGAAGCTAGAAAAACAATGCAACTAGAAGCTAGAACTTTGCTCATAGTTCAGAGTCCCGGCTCAAAGCCCGGCTCTGTAGCCATGTAAACTCTTAGCTCTAAGCTGCTAGCCACAAACTCATGGCTCTTTTTTTTGTACTTTTCGCGTCTTTTATTTTTCTTTGCCACAAGCTCCAAGTAACGTCATTTTTGTCGACATGCTCGATCTTTTATTTTTATAAGCCAAGTCAAGACCAACGGAACCAAAGCAACAGAAGTGCCTCAGAGTAATTTTGTAACTTTTAATTATTATCAAGTTTTCCTTTTTGAAGATTTTGACAACTTTAGAGTCATCTGGTCAACGCCAGTCTTCTCTAAAGTTATCCAGCCAAAGTGAAGAGCATTAGAGTTATTTCGCATCAACCCACAAGAGACACCAGCAGAGACACCTCGGCACGACCGCCTCCAGAGAAGCTGAGCAGAAATCAAGAGTGCCCGAGACAGAAAGTCTCCTGACAAACTCCACCAGAGCTGAATCGCTGAGACACCGGCAGAATCCGTCATTGTGATAACGGGACACGGCCTCCAGGAGAATCCACCTAGATCCCGCGTCTCCAGGGTTACCATGGCAACCACAGCCACCTGGGTTCCAGCCGAGGGTCTTCAGCTACAGCGCAACTCACAGTAGGCCGGTCTTAACACTCTGCTCATGACTGGGTTGATGTCGAAATATAGCAATATTTAATCATCAGACCTAATTCGTAGATGTAGTATCATTAGCTGTATAGCCATAGTGTATAGCCATAACATATTCTCTCCCTCCATTGCCAACTCATCACACTGCTAATTTCATTATTATTTTCAACTTT